TTTCAGCAGCAAGTTTAGACTCTTCTTCTTCATCTATCCCTTGGGGATCCACCACAAAGACTTTCTTCAATTTCTTATCAAGATACTGCAAAAAAAACATTTTGTTTGGTTAGTTTAACAGTTAGTTAGTTTGTCAGTGTATGTAAGTAATTAACTATGATTTGGAAATGGTTTTACACACCAGAAATTTCCAGTGGTTTTTATGCACTTGCATGAAACCAATCATGGCATCATATTTGTCAAAGTTGACCTGAAAAAAAGATGAAATATTATTAAACTTGTCTTTCTGACCTTTTATTTTTGCACTAAATAACAACTGTAAAGACTAACCTTTCGAAAACTGTGCCTTGGCAATTCAGACCTCTCCCCAAACACAATCACACCGGCAGAGTAGTGGTTCAATAAAAAAATATGTCTTCCATTTGGTTGTGAATTCAACAGTGCTTGGATGTAACTTTCAATAATCTGCAATTATTAAATAAAATGAAATGTATTAACCCATGTAATCCCAATAGTGACCGTAAAAAAAGTTTCCTTTCTAAAGCTATATAAAATGTTACTGAATAATCTATAAATGCATTTCCAGCAGATATTGAAATATTACAGTTTTTTTTTGATTGCTAAACCACAGTGGAGCACAACTGAAGCTACATGTGCAAAACTCTAACTACAGTCTGCACAGCAGCAGTTCATGTGGACCAAACTCTAGATCGTTTTTCATTGCTTGAACACAGTTTTCAAAACTCTACACACTTATCCCATGACTTTAACCACAACCTGCACAACACTGTGGATTTACAGCACTTTGTTCAAATGCTAACACACTGCTGTCAAAACTGTGAACCACTCATTCAAAACAGAATAAATTTCAGCCTTGTGCCTTTCACACACTGCTGATTTTCAAACAATTTCATCTGAAAGGATGAAAACTTGCGGCCTAATGCTTGAGAGAGTCAGGGTTACAGTATTACAGTATGTACTTTTAGATTCTACCTTTTTTTCTCATTACCGTAATTCTGTAAATTACTACAGACTATTGAAGCAAACTGCTAATTTTCAATTGTTATGTTCTAAAAATGTAAAAATATCAAATGAAAGAATGTCACTGTTTTCTTTGAAGAAAATATTACTTTGTATGAAGTGTGAAATTGTTGAAACTGCAAAGATGAAAAGTTTGTATTTTCTGCATTGGTGTTTGATGCTACTGTTTTTCCTCTCAGTGTGTTCTGAGTGACAGTGTGTGTTATCTCAGTGAGGGTTGCGCATAGTGTTGTGCACACTGAGCCTGTTTTGAGCCTTGTGTTAAGAGTTGTGCTCAGGTGACTGTTGGTAATGCAGACTGTAGTTAGAGTTTTGCACATTTACCTCCAGTCGTGCTCACTGTCGTTTAGCAATCGAAAAAAACTGTAAAGGGTCTCAATGAAATATGTGCAGTGTCGCATGTTTACTGTAAATAGTCACATGACCAGAGCTGTTTATTTCCTGTTTGTGCCTTGAGAAGAAGATGGCAGCAAGAAAGCTCCCAAAGAAAAGATTAGTAAAGTATGTTAACATAAAGATAGGACATAGTTATTTGTTACACATCATGTTCAAGGTGTCTAGTATTGATTTATGCATTTGCAATTACTCAACTTTGTTTAATGTGTTCATAGAACTCACAAACATGTCAACGGTAACAATAGTGACAGGTGGGATAACACATTGTATCTAAATGCCAATACACAATACCTAACTTAATACGTAATTTTACATACTGATACATACACAGAAACATACACTCGCACATCACACACACACACCACGCACGCCACACACTCCACGCACGCCACACACACCCCACACACACGCACACCCCACACACTCACAACACACCCCACCCACACGCACACCCAACACCACACCATGCACACCCCACACACACCGCACACGGACACCGCAACACCCCACACGCACGCACACCCAACACCCCACAGCCTACATGCACACGTACGCACACACCGCAACACACCCCACACGCATACACACCACCCTAAACAACCCACACTCACATCACACACAGTCAAATCACACACTACACACCCCACACGCACACCCCACACACACGCACAGACACATACACACACACACACACACACACACACCCCACACACACGCACAGACACATACACACACACACACACACACGCACACCCCACACACACACACACACACACACACACACACACACACCACACACACACACACACACACACACACACACACACACACACACACACACACACACACACACACACACTGCACTGTCAAATAGACCTATATTCAGTCTGTACAGTGGTTGATAAAACACAGTATCCCACTGGTCACGATTGTGACCGATCATAAAACTAACTTTTTCACACAAGTTTCCATGAAAATTAAAAAAAAAAAAATATGATATTTTTGTGTCTGGGAAAATATTGGGATTAAATGGGTTGACCCTAAAATATATTATAACAAATAAACTAATATTTGTCAATGTCTTTATTCATTAGCCTACCAATAGTGATAGTGAAAGTTCATGCACAGTATAGTTACTGTTTAACATTTTATAAACATGAATATATAAATCCACACTCCAGCAGTACAAATATTTACAGGTTTTTTTTTCGATTGCTAAACCACAGTGGAGCACAACTGGAGCTACATGTGCAAAACCCTAACTACAGTCTGCAAAGCAGCAGTTCATGTGGACCAAACTCTAGATCATTTTTAATCGCTTGAACACAGTTTTCAAAACTCTACACACTTATCCCATGACTTTAAACACAACCTGCACAACACTGTGGATTTACAGCACTTTTTTCAAATGCTAACACACTGCTGTCAAAACTGTGAACCACTCATTCAAAACAGAATAAATTTCAGCCTTGTGCCTTTCACACACTGCTGACTTTCAAACAATTTCAGCTGAAAGGCTGAAAAATTGTGGCCTAATGCTTGAGAGAGTCAGGGTTACAGTATTACAGTATGTACTTTTAGTTTCTACCTTTTTTCTCATTACCGTAATTCTGTAAATTACTACAGACTATTGAAGCAAACTGCTAATTTTCAATTGTTATGTTCTAAAAATGTAAATATATCACATGAAAGAATGTCACTGTTTTCTTTGAAGAAAATATTACTTTGTATGAAGTCTGAAATTGTTGAAACTGCAAAGATGAAAAGTTTGTATTTTCTGCATTGGTGTTTGATGCTACTGTTTTTCCTCTCAGTGTGTTCTGTGTGACAGTGTGTGTTATCTCAGTGAGGGTTGTGCATAGTGTTGTGCACACTGAGCCTGTTTTGAGCCTTGTGTTAAGAGTTGTGCTCAGGTGACTGTTGGTAATGCAGACTGTAGTTAGAGTTTTGCACATTTACCTCCAGTCGTGCTCACTGTCGTTTAGCAATCGAAAAAAACTGTAAATGCATCCTGAAATGTTTGTTACAGTTTTTATGAATTGCTAAAACAATAAACACCGCTGAACCAAATTCTCAGAGGCTAAAAAAAAAAACAATTGTCGAATAAATCACGTTTTCTGTAAAACATTAAACAAGTTCAGGTGGTTAAAACATTGTTTGCAAATCTCATGAACACATTCTTAGTCACTAAAACACATTTCGCACTGCGATGCATTTTTAGTTTCAAAATGCTATACACAGGTAAGCGAAAGTTAAACACAACTGAAACACAGTTGCCATCTTTTACACACAACGACATTATGCTGAAGCAGAATCAAATCTCTCTCACTGACCGTGATTCTGCAGTCTTCTGAGTGTACTTTACTGTAACATGCTTTTCATTGAGAGTTTTTTACTGTAAACTTTTTGGCTGTTGTAGTCGGGTCGCTGTATTCTCACAGTATGCAAGTGGGTGAATACTGTATACAGACATTTCACAGGCCTACTATTCAATATTCAATGCAATACTATACTTCCAATGGATACAGTATACAATTTATTCACCTTATTACTGTATTGTCATACTTTTTTACATAATTGCAAAATTGTTTACTTTGTTACAATACACTTTTTTCTGTAACTGCATGCTTTGAAGTCTGTCTTCTCCATTTTTTGATGTTGTGTCTAATGAATGATCTGTAGTGTTTATAATTTTGACTTGCCGTGTGTATGATCTGAGAGCGTTGTGTGATTTTGAGCACAGGTAAAATGCTTTTGAGGCAATTGTTCTATTTTGCCAGAAAGAGTCAGAGGTTCTGTGAATTTTGGTGTGAAAGTGTGGTGTGTTTACAGTTTGAGAAATTGATTGAGGGTTCCAGAAATGTTTTTTAGCAATTCAGAAAAACTGTGAAATAGACCATTTAGGCATTTAATGGTGTTTAATGTAAATCCTTATTTATGTAACTAGAGTATATCAATGTTTGTTATGTAGACATATGTTTACCTCCCCTTTCAACCAGTTGTGTGGTTTCAGGCTTTTAAATTCTGTTAGGCGAAGTGTATACGAGACATCCTTGTCAACTGACTGAATTACAGCAACCACGACTTCGCTGTCTCTTGAATTCCAAAAAAGCCTATAAAAATTAGATTGGGAGATAAAAACAATCAAGATTCCCTGCATACCAATAAATTACTTTGTGCTGGTTTTACTTTGTGTCCATTTTCATGAACATATACGGTATAGACAGTTAACTTTATAAAGACAAGTACAAAGCCGAATTAAATGTATTTGTATATACTTATACAGACAAGAATTGATACATATTTTTATATTATTTTTTATGCAGAAATGTAATCAAGTTGTTTTGTGTTAAACAGTGAATGTTTCAAACAAACACATCAACGGTGTCGGTGGAATTAATAAAAGTTTAAAGGGAACATAGACATGGATTTTAAGTTGACAAATCAACTTATTCTCATGTTAGAGGAATCAATCCTTTAACAGAAGTACATTGACACATACAAATAATATAACATGCACATTTTTTTTTTACCTGTATAATGTCCTCATTACGTACATGGGCCTGTGGCCTCAGTGACAATGTCTGTTTGAGCTTTAGATGTCTATGATGAGAAACCGAAGACATCAATATTTTCATGTTGTTCAGAAAAGCTTTAATAATGTTAGGATATTTATACACTTTAAATAGTTGTCGGTGGCCTTGAATTTGCCTAAAGTTGACATCGTCTTACCTGGGAAGGGTCAGACACGGCTCTGACATTGTCAGTTGTCTTTACTTTCGACTTTGGCCGTCCGACAGGAGCTTTAGATGTCTATGATGAGAAAACAGAAGACAGCAATATTTGCATGTTGTTGTGAAAAACTTAATAATGTTAGGATATTTATACACTTTAAATAGTTGTCGTGGCCTTGAATTTGCCTAAAGTTGACATTGTCTTACCTGGGAAGGGTCAGACACGGCTCTGACATTGTCAGTTGTCTTTACTTTCGACTGGCCGTCCGACAGAGAGCTTTTAGATGTCTATGATGAGAAAACAGAAGACATCAATATTTGCATGTTGTGAAAAACTTTAATAATGTTAGGATATTTATACACTTTAAATAGTTGTCGTGGCCTTGAATTTGCCTAAAGTTGACATTGTCTTACCGGGAAGGGTCAGACACGGCTCTGACATTGTCAGTTGTCTTTACTTTCGACTTTGGCCGTCCGACAGGAGCTTTAGATGTCTATGATGAGAAAACAGAAGACATCAATATTTGCATGTTGTTCAGAAAAGCTTAATAATGTTAGGATATTATACACTTTAAATAGTTGTCGTGGCCTTGAAATTGCCTAAAGTTGACATTGTCTTACCTGGGAAGGTCAGACACGGCTCTGACATTGTCAGTTGTCTTTACTTTCGACTTTGGCCGTCCGACAGGAGCTTTAGATGTCTATGATGAGAAAACAGAAGACATCAATATTTGCATGTTGTTGCGTGAAAAACTTTAATAATGTTAGGATATTTATACACTTTAAATAGTTGTCGTGGCCTTTGAAATTGCCTAAAGTTGACATTGTCTTACCTGGGAAGGGTCAGACACGGCTCTGACATGTCAGTTGTCTTTACTTTCGACTTTGGCCGTCCGACAGGAGCTTTAGATGTCTATGATGAAAAACAGAAGACATCAATATTTGCATGTTGTGGTGAAAAACTTAATAATGTTAGGATATTTATACACTTTAAATAGTTGTCGTGGCCTTGAATTTTGCCTAAAGTTGACATTGTCTTACCTGGGAAGGGTCAGACACGGCTCTGACATTGTCAGTTGTCTTTACTTTCGACTTTGGCCGTCCGACAGGAGCTTTAGATGTCTATGATGAGAAAACAGAAGACATCAATTTTGCATGTTGTTCAGAAAAGCTTTAATAATGTTAGGATATTTATACACTTAAATAGTTGTCGTGGCCTTGAAATTGCCTAAAGTTGA